GAGCAGCTCTTGTCCAGAGGTGAGATGAGAAGGCAGAGAAGGTCAGGAGCTGGTTGAATGGACACGGGAAATCCGGGGTGGAAAGGAAGAGTGTGCTTTCACAGTATAGGGAGAGCAATTAGGGTCACAAAACAGTGTATGTATAAATTTTTGTATGAGAGACTAACTTGAATTGTAACCTTTCACTTAAAGCACAACAATAAAAAGAAAAAAAAGTACATGAGACAAGTCTCGCCATCCTCGCTTTTAAGGAATCTACCACTGGTCTAAAGGCAGGTTAACTGTAATGAGAAAAATACTTTATCTGAATCAATTCCATCCAATATTCTATCTCACTGGAAAACAGATATAAGTAGTTACCTTTTGAAGCAGGCGGTGTGAAAAATCTATTCTGACTGTGAAAAGCACCACGTCCTCCTCGATTGCCTGAAAACCCCCCCCGAGAAGAAATCTTCTGTGATACTTTGAGTGGCCGTTTTGGTGGCGGTATTCCATCTTGAGGGACCACTTCTTTACTTTCAGCTGCAACAAAGTCATCCACATGCATAGATGGTGGTCTGCTTGTGTTCTGTTTTCTCTGACGAAAAATATCATGGGGTCGTGTACCCTGTCCAAATCCTCCCCTGCCTCTTCCTCTTGGTGGTGGCACAACATGGGCTCGTTTGGCAGGTTCAATGTATTCAGATTTTCCACTATTAAAACAAAAACACACTCTATGAAAATTTTCTTCATATTTTCAGTGAAAATACACAATCTTTGCAATACTGAAAACTACATTTCAATTGTTCTTATTCCAGTTCTCAATATAACTTTGCAAATCTCAATACAACTTTTTGGAAAAATACAACGAACTACCTAAGAATGATACTCATATTTATTGATATGACTAACAACTTTTAAAAATAATCCATTTTGTCTCTTGTTCAAACCTTCCAAAAGTAGAACATGTTCTTCATAAAGTAGAACAATATTAACAAATGTACTGGGTATGCCCTGATCAAATTATTATCTTTTCAAAAAAATCTAAACAATAGTCATGATTCAAGTGCTAATTTATGTCAACTTCTTTTTTTTGTCTGTTTAATAGTCATGTGTCTACCTTAAAATACAGTAAATAGTTTACATGACCACAATCAAGATCTTCAGTGGAATAAATTTACCTTGAAGTTATAAAGGTCTCATGCTTGTGCTTCCCAAGTTTGAATCCTTTGGTAGTCTTGGTTCTCCCTGGAGATGATGGTTCTGACAAAAATGAACGCTCTAATTCTGAGTGCAAGTCAAAGTCACTACAGCATTTTTCAGAGAGATCAATTAAGTCAACCTTTACCTGCAGTCATAAAATTAAAAAAAATGAAAATCTTAAGTAACTATTACTATAACATTTTATTACAGTCTTATTATCTATAATTTATAATAATAAATGAACTAGAGGTCTGTTTCTTTCCATTCTTCTTTTCAGAAAGCACATCATTGTTAGTTGGCTTAAAAAAAGAAGGCAAAAGTATACCTCTGAAGTTCAGCTACTTTTAAGAGTAGCATTCCTCCTCAAGGAAGGACTATTAATGGAGACATCTGCTGCCTGACAGGGAATTCAAGACTTCTCTTTATAAATCAACAGTATAATATCTCCAGAACTTTTCCAGGAGAATGGGAAAATAACCCACTCTGCAAGGTTTGTACTGCCAAGGTTTCTGTTATAAAACGATTTTGTGCTACAAATGCCAAAAGTTCTGTGCAAGATGAAGTTTACTTTGGTTTTATTCAAATTTATCAAATATAAGAGATCTAAATTTTCTCTAAATCATTTAAAGCCACAATCATCATCTCAAGATAGTTGTGATTCAATTTAAAGTTAAATATACCTCAAATATGAAGCAACTCATTCTTTTAGTTTTATTGAATATGATGAACACTAGCATTTTTTGGACCAGGAAATATCCATATGTTTTCTTTCATCAAAAGAACCAATATACAGTACAGTAACGTGTGGTCAAAATAATCTTCCCTACCAATATAAGAAAACAAAGTCCTTCAGAGTGCTTACGCAAAAATGGAACTTTCCCCAAAAGTCCCATTCTCAAATATATAGATCATTATCAAGAAAAAAGCACAAAAAGATGAGAATCCTAGATACCACTAAGTGAGCAACTGGCATAAAAATAACGCAGAACTGGTCCCCAAATGAAATTTTAACAACTATATAATACATTTTAGTATTAATATTTTAGTACTAACAGTATATAAAGAAACTAATCAGCAATAATTCTTTTCTACCAAATAAAATTATTTATACCAAATCCAGATCTGTATCAATCTCTTCAGCCTGGAATGGAGTGAACCACATAGATTTCAACTGATCATCCATGACATCAGCTAACACATATGCAGTCCTAGAACAGGGAAAAGTACTTGGTGAAAAGTAGAATTCCAAAATCAAACATTTTAGCTTATCTTCTAAGAAAAATCTATGGAAAGTACAATTAAAACTGTTACTCTCTGATGTGTTGGTAAAATTAGCACTGGAAAAGACTCTTTCAAAAAGTTATCCAAGATTTAAGTATCCTCAAAAACCAATAACTTGGAAACTATTTCTGATGTGATAAATTTTGACCTTTTAGTAAATAAAATGGAGCCTCGTTTTATTTTTGAAAAGCCAAGTTTACTGCACTATACCAACTGTAACAGACACTGCCCTTATTGAATTTTTTTAAATTTACAGAATAATTCTATCACATTCAATGGTTACTATGGCTATGGTCCTCCAAAGAACCAGAGGCATATATCTTCTAGACCAAGGATTGGCAAACCATGCCCTGTACTATCAGCCTGTTTTTGTATAGCCCATGAGCTAGGAATGGTTTGTTTATTTTAAAAGTTTTTTAAAAACAAAACAAACAAAGTAACACGATTATATGCAGAGATTGTATGTGGCTGGCAAAGCTTAGAATTTTTGCTACCTGCCTCTTCACAGAAAAAAAGTGTGCTAATCCTCTTTCTCAGCAACCATATAAACAACATCTACTCAACCACAAAACATTGCTTGTTTTACCTATTGTTAAACAGATTCTGGAGAGATTCTGGTGCTGAAAGTACTGGTTCTACATCCTGGTCACTGAGTGGTAAAGGATCACCTGATGATTCCAGCATCTGCTTAAGTCCAACTATATTGTCCAACAAAGAATCCAGATTGTCATCATCTTTTGAATGTTCCTAGATACAAGCAAAAGCAGAATAAGAAGGTGCAAGTAAAATGTAAACATTTATGCTCATAATCTACTGACTCTTTAGTAGAAAAGGCTGTATTATTTCACTATGTAAATGTGGAGGACCAAACTTAACATTAATACAAATAAAAATAAAGCAAACACCAAAAATACATGTTATTTTATTTCTAAAGAATGACAGCAGGAGGTGCCCTCCATCCAAAGAATAAACAAAAAAACATACTGCTTTCATTTACTCCTTAAGATTCATAACAGTATGGAGGATTTCACTCCAAATTATTAAATTCAAGAAGTTTTTTGGAACAATATAAACACCCAACTGAGGGTTCACTATTTTAAAAGGTCACTATGAAAAACCTGTACTAGTCAAACTGACGAGAAAAGATGTCTTGGGAATGTGTTGCTTTAATTTTGTTTCTGTTTTTCTTTTCTTTTTTACCAAAACAAGCTTCTCTAGTTCAAGGAACAAATTTTCTGGACTTTCTTCTTTGCTTTGTAGAAGCTGTTTTAACTCTGCAGCATTAATACTCATCGTCCGTGATGGATGAGCTCCCTCTACTTCCATGAGACCACTATCATCTCCACAACATCCCTGTAAATGTCACACACAAGTTAAATTTGAGAGCAGAGAAATTTGCAAAGATGCTTCCAAACTTATTCAGATATTTAAGCCATTTGTTGCAATCCTCCCCTCAATGTTTTGCTCTTACAAATCAGTACAAATGGCTAGTTTCAAGCAGGATTTAGTCAGCTCAAAGTGGAAATAAGTTTTCTTTGAGTAATAATAATAGGTAAACAAACAATTGAGTAAACAAAATAATAGGTAAACATATGTATTCAATTTACTGGCACCAAGATTCTCAACAAAAATATCCAATAGCCAAATACACTAGCACTTGCAGGATATATAACATACTGACCTATGCTCAATAGTTAACAAAATCTGCTATAACATAGAATTGATGGAACCTGAAATTATCTTTCTCAAGATAAGGCAAACAACCAAAGAAAACAGTAACTACCACATTTAAGACTATATTCTGTCACGTAGAAAACTTAATATTTTATGCTTTTAAAAGTATGCTATATAATAAAATGAATTTTGGAGTGATCATAGTTCAATACTAGAAAATCCATCCAGCAAAACAAATCTTGGTTCATGACACTAAAACGATCAATATTCTCACATATGGAAGAACACTTATAGTAAAGTACCAAGTATCTACCTAACAATAGTTTCAAATCTTTAGAAGGCAGCCCTGTTTTTAAATCATTCAAAATGAATATGGCCTCTCAAGAGTCTGTATCTGCCGACCCAGATGCAGGACTGAGTATTTTAAGTGAGTATTTACAATTAAAATTTTGTTTGGAGCTCATACTATTTGTTCTATAATTAGTCAAATGTCAAGGAAAGTAGAATTAAAATTATTCTTAATATCTACCCCCTCAAACTGATAAATACTGTGGCAGAAGCACACTGGCACACTGGACTTTCTGAAGTTCACTTTAGAAAACAGTGGACTGAGAAAGTGACTGACACTGTTTTGAGGAAAAGGGCATAAAGTTTTAATCAGAAATTCAATATACCATTGAGTTTACAAGAGTTTTATTTGCTCTGTTTGGGGGAGTGGGCAGGTTGGTGAATAGTCTAGCCTACGCTTTATCAAAAAAATTTTAAGGTAAATGAGTTAAAAATAATCAGAATGCAGTAGTAGAGACAGCAAACAGTTCTTTTTAAAGGATGTATCTCCTAAATGTTAGTAACATCTGTAAATTAACAGATTAAATATATTTTATAGAAATAAGAATATTAAGCAGACTACAAACTATCAAGACATCTATGTGGCTTCTTTTCTCCCAGCTGTTTACCCAGTTTCAGAGTTGTTTACAGCACTTTCACCAAGAAATGGGAAGTTTCAAAATATAGCTGAATCAGACAATAGTACAATGATTATTTTTAATAGAGAAAACAGAACAAAGTTATCAAGTTAAAGGGAAAGAGGGAGCCAGTGGGAGGAACTGAAGGTAGTTACATTTTGTTATCAATATAGACAAAAAAAAGAAAAACACTGTTAAGAAGGAAGATAAAATGTATGGATAAATAAAAACATTTAGAATGATCTAAAATTTTCAACTCGCTATACTATCTTTCTTTTTCATTATTATGAATAACAGAAACCATTCTGAACAAAAAAAAACCCTTTTTAACTTCTAATATACTTGCTTTTTATTAAGAACAAATTTAGAATATTTTGAAGCTTTCTGTATATGCACTACTGTGATGACTAGTAACAAAGAATTTTTAAGAAGTTTTTTAAAACTATAATCTACAAAACTGTTTCAGGAAAATGAAAATTCTATCAAGTTTGTGTGTGGTACCATTTCAAATTTTCTTATTCATTTGTCAAACACTTCAACTATTAAATTGTACAAGGCACTATGCAAGTAATCTGGGAAAAAGATATTAAGACATGGTCTCTGACCTAAATGACCTTATTCAGAATATGGGGTGGGAAATGGTAAATAGATGTATAAATGACACAGAAAACATAAACGTAAGTAACATCATATATAAGGAAAAGTAATCTCAAAGGCTTCATAAACTGAGATGCATGGAATACAGGCTCTGACAAACAGATTATAGTTTGACCAAAAAAGAAAAGAGGCCAGCAAGCTAAGAGAAGCATGGCCAAGAAAAGGAAAAGTAGATTAAGATTTATAGAGGATAATGTAGTATAAAATGTTTCCTAAGGGAGAAGTTGTTACAAAAGTAGCTTTTCAGCCAGACAGTGAATGGTCTTGAATGTCATGCTAAATAGTCTGGAATTTATCCTACAGGTACCAGAAGTTATTGTAGGGTAAAGGGACATGATCTGATGTCTGCTCTATTTGGACAGAATTAATTCAAGCAGAACTATTTAGAATGTATCAGAAAAGCAAATGTTTGGAAGGAAACTGGAAAGAAGGCTGTTCCAATACTCTGCAAGAGACTATCAATAAAGAGAAAAGAAATATAAAAGGAACAGAAAGAAAACAGACTGCAGAAACATGAATATAGCTTCAGAGACCTATGGGGCACCATCAAGAGTACTAAAGTAAACATAATTAGAGTCCCAAAAGGAGAGGAAAGACAGAAAGGGTCAAAAAGAACATGTGAAGAAATAATGGTTGAAAACTTTCCATTAATCTATACATCCAAGAGGCTCAACAAACTCCCAAGTAAGATAAACTCAAGAGATCCATACTTAGATATGTCATGGTCAAACTGTCAAAAGATAAAGACAAAGAATCTTGAAAGCAGCAAGAGAGAAGTAACAAATCATATAAAAGGAATCCTCAATAAAACTAACATTTGAAACCATGGAGGCCAGAAGGCAGCAAGAAGACATATTCAAAGTGCTGAAAGAAAAAGACCATTCACCCAGAGTTCTATATCAGATAAAACTGTCCTTCAAAAATGAAAGAGAAATTAAGACATTTCCAAATAAACAAAAACTGAGAGAATTCATCACTAGCAAATCTGCTCTACATAAAATATTAAAGGGAATCCTGTAGGCTAAAAGAACACTAGACAATAACTTGAATTCACATGAAGAAATAAAGAGCACCAGTAAAGGTAAACTACATAGGTAAATATAAGAGCATAAATCTATTTTTAACTCTTCTATCTGATTTAAAAGACAACTCCATATGGCAATAATTATAAAGCTGTATTAACGGGCTCATAATGTATAAAGATCCCAGTTGTATGGTAATAATAGTATAAACGAGGGGGGAAGGGACAAAGCTATATTGTAGCAAAGTTTTTGTATATTAATGAAATTAAGCTGGCATTAATCTGAATTAGACTGCATTATGCTAAGGTGTTAATTGTAGTCCCCAGAGCAGCCAGTAAGAAAATAACTAAAACTAGATATATAGTTAAAAACCAACAAGGAAATTAAAACAGTAGAAAATATCTCCTTAATACAAAAGAAGTATACTAGAGGAAGAGAGGAACAGAAAACATATAAGCTTTATAGAAAACAAATAGTAAAATGACATATATAAATCCTACCATATCAGTAACTAAATGTAAACAGATTAAATATTTATCAAAATGGAGAGACTGGCAGAATGGATTAAAAAACATGATCCAACTATATGCTGTCTACAAGATACACTTGAGATAAAAGACACCAATAGGTTGAAAGTATTAGGAAAAAAAAATACAAACAGTAACGAAAAGAGAGCTGGAGTGGCTACACTAATAAATCAGACAAAATAAACTTTTAGACAAAAATTGTTACTAAACACAAAGACATTGATAATGATAAAAGGGTTAATCCATCAGGAAGATGTAACAATTGTAAACATATATGCACCTGACAAGAGAGCCCCAAGATACATAAGGCAAAAATTGACAAAACTGAAGGGAAAAACAGACAATTCAATAATAATAGTTTATAGATCAATAGCTCATTTTCAATAATGGATAGAACTAGGTAGAAAATCAACAAGGAAATGAGAGAATTGAACAACACCATAAACCAACTGGAACTAATATATATCTATAGAACGTTCCACCAGACAGCAACAGAATACACACTCTTCTCAAATGCACTTGAACCATTCTTCAGGAAAGACCATATGCTATGCCAGAATACAAGCCTTAATACATTTACAAGGACTGAAATAATACAAAATATGTTCTCCAGCCACAATGGAATGAAACTAGTAACAGAGGATATTTGGGAAATTCATAAGTATACAAAAATTAAAGACACTCCTAAATAATCAGTGAGTTAAAGAAGAAGTCACAAGAGAAATTACAAAACACTTTGAGATGAACGAAAACGAAAACACAGCATACTAAAACTTTACGGGATACAGCTAAAGGAATATTTACAAGCAAAGTTACAAGATGTAAATGCCTATATTAAAAAAGAAGATCTCAAATCAATAACCTAATCTTTCACCCTAAGAAACTAGAAAAAGAAGAGCAAGCTAAATCCAAAGCAAGCAGAATAAAGGAAATAATAAAGATTAGAACAGAAATAAATGAAATAGAGAACAGAAAAATAACAAAAAATCAAAGAACCCAAAAGTTGGTCATTTGAAAGATGAACAAAAATGACAAAACTTTAGCTAGACTAACCAAGTGGGGGAGGAGAGCAAAGATTCCAATTATTAAAAGCAAGAATGAATCAGGGGTCATTGCTAATGACTTTACAGAAATAAAAAAGATTGTAAGAAAATACTATGAATATAATTGTTTGCCAACAAGTTAAATAACACAGATAATGTAAAGGAACAAATTCCTATACAAAAAGACACAAACTACCAAAACTGACTCAAGAAGGAATAGAAAATCTGAATAGATCTACACCAAATAAAGAGATTGAATTAGTTGCAAAAAAATTCCCACAAAGAAGTCCAGACCCAGATGGCTTCACTCGTGATGTTTACTAAATGTTCTAAAAAGAATTAACACCACTTCTTCACAAACTCTTCCAAAATAAACAAATGAGGAGGAAATACTTTCCAATTCAGGGTATAATCCCTGATACCAAAATCAGACAAAGACATCACAAGAAAATTACAGACCAATATCCTTTATGAATACAGATATAAAAATTCTCAACAAAATAAAACAAACTGATTTTAGCTACATATAAAAACGATTATATACCATGACCAAGTGGTTACACAACTCTGTGAATATACTAAAAACCACTGAATTGTAGATTATAAATGTGACTTGTATGGGTTTATGTGAACTGTATCCGAATAAAGCTGTTGAAAAAAATAAATAAAACATACTCTGCAAGAGGGACCAATCTAAAGTGATGGTGGTGAAAATACGAAAGAGGGAATGAAGTACAAAAAGTTTTGTAATGAGCATTTGCTGAAGATGAGAAACAAGAGGGAAAGTTGACTACTATTTCATGACATCGATACTGGAGGTCAGGGAAAATCAACAGTATGAAAACAGGGTATGTAAAAGATGAATTAAGTTTAGAAGATAATGAATTTAATTTTCAATGTTCAGAGATTCTATACATTAGCCCCTTGATGAGAAGGATTGACATAGTGGCGCCAACAGTGGGCTCAAACATAGCAATGATTGTGAGGATGGTGCAGGAACGAGGCAGTGTTTTTTTCTGTCATACACAGGATCGCTAAGAGTCAGAACAGACTTCATAGCACCTAACAACAACATACATTAGCCAAAAGCGAGGAAGGGGGCGACCTCATACCATCAAGAAAGCAGTGCCAGGAGAAGAGCGCGTCCTTTGGACAGGGGTCCCTGCGCTGAGAAGCTCCTAGTCCAGGGGAACACTGATGAGAAGGCCAACAGAGACAGAAAGACTTCCCCTGGAGCTGACACCCTGAATTTGGACTTTTAGCCTACTTTGACTGTCAGGAAATAAACTTCTCTTTGTTAAAGCCAAAAAAAAAAGCGAGGAAGGGATATAAAGATAGGAGATGGGAAAGGGATAGGACCCAGGTCACAGGTAAAAATGAAATGGTGCAGGAGTACTTTTCCTCTGATTAAGAAAGAATAGATGAGAAAGAGCAGGGAAAGGATTTCAGAGAAACGGGAAGAATTTAGTCATTGAACAGGATGGCCTTGATCTTCTCAATGTAAAAGGTAAGAAAAGGAAATGCACTGATGAGGGAATAAAAGCATTAATTAGCACTATTGAGGCTCCAGCAATTCCTGGATAACATGAATGAACAATGGTTAGTGGTTTTTGATCAGAACTGTTAACTAATGACAGGTGTAAGACAATCTGTCAAACTGATTTGTTAACATGCCGCTTAAGATACAGTAAAGCTAGTTAAGTACTCTTCCATCAAGTCAAACTCTAAAAATCTCTTCAGGACAGCTACAGCCCTACTTTTAAATATGCCAATCTTTCAGAATCAAAGTATCTAGTAAACTTAATTACTTTAATAAACTAGATAGGACACAAAACAATGTTTTGCCAATAAAATTAGCAAGACAATAAATACAAACAGAACAGGCAGCCAATATGCTCAACGTAAATTATACAGGTAAGAGAGAAACCCACTAAACAGTAAATTTATTTTATTTTTCTTATAAAATGGTTTCATACTATATTTATTTTGGTAACACTATACTAAACAGGTCCTCTATAACTGTTCTCAAATAGAAATCTTAAATATAAGCTGAATTTCTTAAACTGCTGTTGACAGAATACTGATCTACTGGATATTAATAGCTGTGCACATACACACCAAAGGTATTTTGTGGGCAACACATCTGGGCAAAGCTGGGTTAGACTGCAATAAAACAAGTTTCTATCTACTCCAGAACTTCTTAGAGCTTTTACTATACTAATGTGCATGGTCCAGGCATTTCCAAACTTATTTGACCACAAACACTGTGGTCAGGCCTGTTATTAAATGCAGGCCTGTTAACAGCTTTTGGAATTATGTCCACAATATACTATGATTTTAGAAAACACTAATGAGAGAAATTCTTAATTAGATTTTAATAATAAGATTTTAGAGTTGAGGAAATAATCTTTAACTGATATCTATGGAGGATCAAAATATACTCTAGCATAATAAACTTTATAGTCACCCCAAAATCACATCTGAAACACAATCAGCAAATGCTCAATTAAGTGACAATATGTAAATATTTGATTAAGAGACTAACAAAGCTTGACTATTCTGAGTTACCCTTGCAAGGTAACTTAATGCCAAGAATTATCTGAAAAATGAAGTCACTATAGGTAGTATCATTCCGTATTTAAGCTGTGAACTCATGTACTATTCACAAATTAATGATGCCTAATACATTAAAAAAGAGTTAAAAAACTTCTCACATAAGCAGCTATCTTTTTTTTTATAAATCAAAAACCACATTTGCTATGAAGGTGAGGGTACATAAAAAACCACTATTCTAAGTTCAAAGATATTTCTGAATCAAAGTAATTTTTTAACTATGACAAAAGTTTATAAATTTAAGAAACACCAAATATATATAAACACTTACCATTGTGTCAGAATTTAAAATTTGTCTCATAAACTCCAAGAACGAAGATGCAAGTTCTCCTGTGTCCTTACTAAATGTGCTGACCACTCGTTTCAGTAAACTATGCAGAGCATTACTGTTTTTCCTTAAAGAACTGTAATTAAATAGGAGATATTGCCTTAAAACATCAATGTATAAATCTCTATATCCGTTCTGATAAAATAATATTTAGTCCACCATTTCAAACAATACAAAAATATTTTAAATTTTAAAAGTACTTCAATGTGTCTGTGTATACAAACCCATTACAAAGCAGTACCTATAGTTAACACTTCCTTCTAAAGCTAAGCCTCAAGCTCTTCCCCCAAGTAATAAAGGTTTAATACAGTACAAGAAACTTGCAGGTTCCCTACTTTTAAACTTTTTATATAAAATCTGAGGACTTCTCTAACATGAGCTGGTTACAGCTGTCTCAGAAGTCTGCCTAGAAAGCCTAGCTCATATAGTAACTATAAAGAATGACTATTTTTATTTGATACTATAATCTGACAAAAGGATTATCAGGGGTATAGAGCAGGAGACCACAAACTTTTTCTATAAACACCCAGATGGTAAATGTTTTATGTTTTATGGGCCACATGGTCTCAGTCACAACTGCTAACTCTTTTGTAATAGTGGGAAAGCAGCCATAGACAATATATAAACAAATGTGTCCCAGTAAAACTGTATTTACAATAATTGGCACAGGCTGGATTTGGACAATGGGCCACAGTTTGCCAACCCCTGATATAGAGAGACTTCAGCATAACAAACAATCATATCTATCTAAAACTATGACAATATATAAACCAAAACCAAATCCATAGCCATTGGGTTGCTTCTGACTCATGGCAACCCCAAGTACTATAGACTAGAACTGTTCCATAGGGTTTTCTTGGTTGTAATCTTTACGAAAGCAGCTCACCAGGCCGTTCTTTTGCAGTGCTGTTGGATGGGTTCAAACTGTCAACCTTTAGGTTAGTAGTCAAGCGCTAACCATTTGCGCCACCCAGGGACCTATGACAACATATGTTGTTGTTGTTAGTTGCCGCTGAGTCTAGTCCAACTCATGACGATCCCATATGTGCAGAGTAGAACTGCCCCATAGGGTTTTCAAGGCTGTGACCTTTTGGAAGAAGATCACCAGGGCTGTCTTCCAAGGTGCCTCTGGGTAAGTTCGAATTGCCAACCTTTCAGCTAGCAGTCCAGTGCTTTAACCATTTGTGCCAGCCAGGGACCTGCTAAAAATATTCTATATATTTACATAGTTCTTAGTTGATCAAAACAGAATTTCAAGGGCAAACAATTCTAATTTTCTATCATATCTATTAAGCTATAACACAATTAACAAAAATTGAAAATATGACATTAACACTAATATGCAGTGTCTGGATTTGGGAAATGTTCTTAGATTCTGACATGCCATCACAGAAGACTTTGGTAAAGCAATACAAAACAAAGTAAGATTCTTGATCTTGAGAGCTTTATACCATAATGAAATGGACATGATATAACCAACAGGAATGAGATTAAACACTAAGATAATATGGTTAATGGAAAAAGCCTAGGTTCAAAAGCATGGGACTATACCAATTACTGACCACTATATATGAACATAACCTTGGAGCCCTGGTAGCGCAGTGGTTAAGAGTTTGGCTGCCAACCAAAGGTCAGCAGTTCAAATCCACCAGCCGGTCCTTGGAAAACCCATGGTACAGTTCAACTCTATCCTATAGGGTCGCTATGAGTCGACGGCAACAGGTTAGAGGTTTTTTTTGGTATGAATAATCTTAAGCAATTGAGCCTTAATTCCATGATTTATCAAAGATGGGACCTACTACACACCTACTAAAATGTCTAAAATTAATTTAAAAAAAAATTGACAATAGCAAGTGCCAGTGAGACTGAGGACCAACCAGAACTCCAATACATTGCTGGTGAGAGTGCAAAATGGTACAGCCACTTTGGAACACTGTTTGGCAGTTTCTTACAAGGTTAAATATACATCTACCATATAATCCAGGTATCTAACCAAAAGAAATGAAAACTGGGATTCACACAAAAACTTGTCTGCAATTGTTTCCAGCAGCTTTATTTATAATCGCTAAATCTAATTTTTCTAAAAATTAGAAAAAAACCAGACTGCTGGAATATTACCAACCAATAGAATAGAACAAATTATTGATTCATGCAACAACATGGATGAATTTTAAATGCATTTTGTTAAATGAAAGAAGCCAGACCCAAAAGACTACGTATTATTTCACTCATATGACATTTTGAAAAAAGCAAAACTATATGGAGAAAAACAGGTTAGTGGTTGCTCGGGGCTGGGAAGCACAAGGGAATTTTGAGGGTGATGAAACTGTTCTATATGGAACTATGGTAATAAACATGACTATGCATTTGTCAAAATTCATGTAACTACATATCTCAAATCATGAATTTTACTGGATGTAAATTAAAAACAAAAATCAACCAGGATGAGGGATAAAAGATGAAATGCAGACTAAGACAAATGAATGTAACTGTACTATAAATGAATCAGATAACCACACTGAGGGAGACAGAGAAGAAAGGAGGTGACCTAAGCAACTTTGGAAAAGTGTTTTGATTGGATACAGTAAGGCTAAAGACAAAAAGAACTGAATACAAACACTACACTCCAGTTGGTAAATTTGTTTCCCACAGGGACATGGATTAGGAATTAGTTAGAAACTACTTCATTTGTGTAACAGAGCTAAAATAAATAAGTAAATGTATTACAGACTATGAGAGCCAGGTTTCTTACTGTTGGAGAATAAAGTTACTAAGAAGGAAGCCAACCTGAAAGATCAGTAGTGGCCAAAGTTAGAACAAGTTGAGCAATAATATAGTAACGATAGTACTGGATTATTACACAAAGAAAAAAATTAATGTCCACGAGTCCATTTGCAGGAGAAGTGACAACTCTTTCCTACAGAAGGATAACTAATGAGTATAAAATGAATGAGGGAAACAGGAAATCACCATTGGAAGACCACAGTAATAACTGCCATATGCAAGATCCACTGATGGGATGGTAAAATTAGTGGAAGAAAGTAATTAAGCAGAAATAGAATATTTGTATAGTCTAAAAGCATATCCTCCAAAATACTATTTAATTAATAATTAAGAAGGGAAAAATAGTTAAGTTTATAGTGCAGAATCCTGGCAGACAGCACCTTAGTCAAGTGATCAAGATTAATAGCATCAGTAACACATATTGATATCATGTATTTTGTTATGAACTGACAAGGGAAAACATGCCTCTGGCTTATCCTTCCGAATAAAGCATAACCTCAATCTACTCATGAGAAAACACCAGATAAACCTAAATTGAGGAACATTTTACAAAATAACTAACCAAGAAGTATCAGTTTTTTGACCACTCTCCAAAAACGTGAAGGCCATGAAAGACACAGAAAGAGGAGACAAAGGATACAGTACAACTAAACACAAGGTAGGATTCTGGCTTGGATCCTGGAACAGAAAAAGGACATTAATGAAAAACTGGTGAAATCCAAATAAGTTCTGTATTTTAATTCACATTATTATACCAAAGTTAATCTCTTAGTCTTAATAAATGTTCTACAGTTAAGTAAAAGGTTAACTTAAGAGCAAGCTAGATATAGGGGGCACAGTTACAGGGACTTCCTAGATAGATCCAAATACCTCGTGGGATTGGTTTACTGGGTTAAAAAGCTTAGGACCATAGTCTCATGGGACAACTTAGTTAATTAGCATAACATAGTTCATAAAGATAATGTTCCACATCCTAGTTTGATGAGTATGGTCTGGGGTATTAAAAGTTTGTGAGCAGCCATCTAAGATTCAAATATTGGTCTACACTCACCTGGAGCAAAAGAGAATGAAGGAAACCAAAGAATCAGTAAAGAAACTAGTCCACAGGACTAACAGCCCACACAAACCATAGCCACTTCTAGTCTGAGACCAGAAGAACTAGATGGTGTCCAGCTACTACCACCAACTGTTCTGACCAGGGACACAATCAAGGGTCCCAGACAGAATGGAAGGAAAATGTAGAACAAAATTCAAATTGCTAAAAAAGGCCAGACTTACTGGGCCAACAGAGACTAGAGGAACCCCTGAGACTATCGCCCTAAAAGGTGACTCCCAGTGGTCACCTTTCTGCCAAATAATAAATTGGCTTATAAAATAAACAATATCACCCATGAGTAATGTGCTCCCTTAAACAATCAACTATATGAGACCAAACTGTCAACATTTATCCAAAAGCAAAGATGAGTAGGCAAGAAGAGGCAGGGAAGCTAGATCAAGGGAAACAGAAGAAACAGAATGGAAATAATGAAAATGCTAACACATGAAAATTGTAACCACTGTCATGGAACAACCTATAAAAATTGTTAAATGGAAACCTAATGTGCTATGTAAACCTTCACATAAAACACAATAAAATACTAAAAAAAAGAATAAGTTAGGTAAAAGGATACCTATTCAAATCACATTTTCAATCTCAAAGATTCTGAGCATGACATTTCAGTGCTAATGAATCTTTCACATAAACACAAAACTCTTCCTCGTAAAAGAAATCATACCTTCAACCTTCTATAACAGGTATGAATTAATTAATTTGGGGAGAATAGCAGATTGAAAACTCAAATCTTATTAAGTTAGACAAAGCTTTACCTTTTTAAATGAAACAATCCATAATCATGCTCTGCAAGAAACATCATTGTTCTGACACATGTCAGTAAACAGTTGTAACTGCTGTCAGGGTTAGCTAGCATAGCCAGTAGACAGTCACAGATTGAGGCCATCAATTCCTTGTTTGGTAGAGAATTGGAAAGCTGCTCCACTTCAGAAACAGAACTTTCAGAAGAGCTTGGCAAAATAAGTGCAATGTCCTGTGGGGGAGGGGAGGAACATGAAAAAATAAATTTTTAAAATGATCATGTCCATCACTTGGCATTTTTATATCAGAAATACATAACAATTATATTTATAATTATTTCATTAAAATATTATTTTTACCTTATCATCCCAAACATATACTCAAACACATTAAGAACAAAAGTTGTTTTACCCTTTTATAAAATACAAGGATATACACCTAAAGAAATAAATATTTTATTTTATAATGTTTTTAAAAGCATCTTTTGAAAAAATTTTCCTTCTGTATTACACTGGTGGAGCCCCGATGCAGTGGTTAAGAGCTCAGCTGCTAACCAAAAGGTTGGCAGTTCAAATCCATAAGCCACTCCTTGGAAACCCAGGGCAGTTCTACTCTGTACTACAGGGTCGCCATGCATCAGAATCAACTCGATGGCAACCGGGTATGTACATATGGTTATTAAACTGAGTGTCGTTTCTATTTTCAAATAGTTAATGAAAAAAGTGACGTATTTTGATACTATTTAAAATCAATACATTATTCATGAATTTGTATCATTTTAAAATTTACGAGAAACCCTTCAGAAAATAAATGTTAATAAGCATATCTATAGTGGGATTTAAAATGTCACAAAAAGGGATTGAGCAACTAAACATTTAAGCATAGTTTTCCAATTAAGTATTTTCCTCTAATTTTAACACTCAAGTTTTCCAATGCCAAACAGATTTAGCTAACAGTAACTGTACATTTACCATTTTTTTCATAGAAGTAAATCAGATTTTACAAGGAGCATTTTTGGGTATGTTTCATCACCTTTAAACACTTCAACATACTGCATACCAGTATTCAAATTGGCTTAAAAAGGCAAAAGAAAGCTTGAATCAGAAGGGAAATATAACAAGATGAGGCCCTGGATGAATTTTATGAGATCAGGGCAGCTAGGATGCTATATAGCATCATTCAGTGTACTCATGCAACTTGACATGGTTCATAGGACAAACACTAGTCATATGGGCACTCTGAGGTACAAAGAACTTAAAATACCTTCACTCCAAAATTATTTTCTACCAGATACCCTTTACATGAAAAAAAAAAAAATCCACACCAAAAATATTCCTTCTTGATTTGAATCTTAAATGTAATCAAATTGGATTTTTGTTAAACTAGAAACAGTCTTCCAACCTGGGATTCTATCAAAAATATTCTGCCTGCCCACTCCATGGAATACATCCTAGAGAAATAAGAGCCATCACACGAATACATATATGCACACTCAAGTTCACTGCAGCTCTGTTCACAATAGCAGAAAGATGGAAACAACCTAGGTGCCTATCAACAGACAAATGGATAAACAAACTATGGTACATACACACAATGGAATACTATGCAACAATAAAGAACAATGATGAATCCCTGAAATACCTCACAACATGGAAGAATCTGGAGGGTATTATGCTGAGTGAAATTAGTCAGTCACAAAAGGAAAAATATTGTAAGAGACCACTATTATAAGAACTCAAGAAAAGGTTTAAACATGGAAGAAAACAGTCTTTGATGGTTACAAGGTTGGAAAGGGAGGGAGAGGGGAATTTACTAACTAGATAGCAGACAAGAATCATCTTGGGCATAGGGAAGGACAACACACAATACGGAGGAAGTCAGCATAACCGGACTAAACCAAAAGCTAAGAAGTTTCCTGAACACAACCAAACACTTTGAGGGACACAGTAGCTGGGGTTTGGGGACCATGGTTTCAGGGGACATCTAGGTCAACTGGTGTTAACAAAGTTTATCAAGAAAATGTTCTACATCCCACTTTGGTGAGTGGCATCTGGAGTCTTAAAAGCTTGTGAGTGGCCATCTAAGATGCATCAACTGGTCCCAACCCACCTGAAGCAAGGGAGAATGAAGAACACCAAAGACACAAGGAAAATATTAGCCCAAGAGACAAAAGGGCCACATAAACCAGAAACTCTATCAGCCTGAGACAAGAAGAACTAGATGGTGCCTGGCTACCACCAATGACCACCCTGACAGGGAACACAACATGGCCCCTGATGGAGTGGGAGAAAAGTGTGGAGCAGAACTCAAATTCACATAAAAAGACCAGACTTAACGGTCTGAGACTGGAGGAACCCTCAAAGCCATGGCCCCTGGACTCTCTGTTAAGCCAGAACTAAAACCATTCCCAAAGCCCACTCTTCAGACAAAGATTAGACTGGACTATAAAACATAATAAAATACTTGTGAAGAGTGTACTTCTTAGTTCAAGACGATACCTGAAACCAAATCGGCAGCTCCTGTCCAGAGGCAAGATGAGAAGGCAGGAAGGGACAGGAGCTAGTTGGATGGCCACAGGAAACCTGGGATGGAACGGGGGGTGTGCTGTCACATTATAGGGACTGCAACTACTGTCACATAACAATATGTGTATAAATTTTTGCATGTGAAATTAACTTGAGCTGTAAACTTTCACCTAAAGCACAATTTAAAAAATTGCCTGAGAAAAAAAAGAAATCACATCTGATGACCAAAATGCAGAAGCATTCTGACAAGCTAAAATGCTATTAGGTATAGAAATCTTCTCCAAGGATATCAATCACAATGGGCTTTAAAAGTTAAAACAACTCTCACTGACTCATGGAACTATAAACTGGAAATCAATAATACAGACAGCAGGAAAAAATATACTTCTTTTAGTGAACATCTATAAGCACAGTAGTCTGAAACATACTAAAATTACAGTAATCTGTGATACCTTCAAAGGTTGTCTTTACAAGATAACATGATATTAATTAAACCAATCACAATGTTATAAAATTCAAGAATGATTCAGTTTATAACTGGAAGGAAAATGAACATATTAGACATAACCAATCCCAAAGAATACAGAAACAGTGGCATTAGAGCAATTACCAGAGGACATCATCTCATTTAAAAAAAAAAAAAAAAAAAAAGGGAAAGAGCTGTTCAGAGAAATTTGTGAAGTACAAACCCAAAGAAAGCTACTGCTGGTTTACTTGTCAAATTTGTCCCTAAACAGCAGGAGTAATAAAACAGAGGTGAGAGCTCTTTATTCACAGCCAAGATTGATTTCAAGAGAAGTTTTAAAACAGACACAGAATTTATAAAAATAACTATAAATACCTGATCACAGAGAGACTGCAAAATGGATGTGATATATTCAACACACTGTTGGCGAGTAACACTGTCTCCAGGAGACCGCACCAAAGCTAACAGGTCTTGAAATATCTCTGCATATCTTTCATCACCTTTAATAGTTCCATTAATTAGATGCAAAGTAGCTAATTTACAAGCTTTGTGTGAAGCCAGAGCATCAAGAAGAGCAAGCAACCTGGCGGTTTGGCTAGAATACTGTTTTTCTTTATCTTCTGAAGTGCTGAAATAAAATCAATACATTTAGTAAACAAAGTTCTTGATTTTAAAGCACTATTCAACTAATATTTATTTCTCAATACATACCATCACACAAAAATCTGTATAAAACATTTCATTCCTTGGATATAAGGCCAACTTCCTTAGAATTTTACAATTATAAAATTTTGTAAATTCAGGTTTTCAATAATACATTTTCTTAAATCAGAGTACTTCTTTATAGTTCACTTTTTCAAACACCCAAAAATATGAACTTCAAGGTATTTTATAAGTAAAATAATGACAAATTTTTCTAATTAACAGCTATATATAAACGCGCATACACAGAGACATATACATACATATCTCTCTGTGTGTGTGTGTGTGTGTGTGTGTGTGTGTGTGTGTGTGTGTGTGTGTGTCTGTATCCTGGGCATCTAAACCCCGGTCTCCAAATTGTTAAGTGAAAAAAATGTATCTGTGACAAGAATAACTTCGTGAAAAATTTTTTTAATGTAAAATGAAAATACCTTTGCAAGTCTTCTACAATCAAATCCAACACAGTTCTCATTATCAGAAGTGCAGTTGGTGAGGCAAGGTCACACAATTGAACACAAATACGCCGTAACATGTGTTGAATGGGCTGGCAGGTTGCGCCAGAGAAAGAGCGAACTATTTCTTGGAGCAACTTTGCTTGAACATGAAGGTGCATGCTCCACAATTTTCGGGTGTTGAGTGCCACTGATATATCATGTGGCTCAATAACCTGTTAAAAAAGTATAATGTGTGTGTACAAAGATTTTTTATATTTATTTGTAGTCACAAAAACTGTTCAGGAAGAACTGTTATGAAAAGACCATCTTTACTGCATGCTCAAAAAACAATTTTCTATTATACAATTAGACATTTGCTTGACTTCAATCAGTCTAAAAAATCTTATTGTTCTTAGGTTAGCAGTCAGTAAAGCAGAGTCCATTGGTGAAGCAAATTCTAACACATGAAAAAAGGATTTAAAATAACAGAAAAATAAAAGTACAAGTATACACAACAGCATAAAACTTACTTTAACAAAAATTTATTTAAAATGTTACCCCCATATTTCCTCAATGACCAACTTCCTTCAGTTTTATCTCACCCTCATCGAGTTATTTTATGTCTTTTTGGAGGGGAGGAATGAGGGTTTTTGTTTTGGTTTGGTTTTTAACAAAACCACTGGCTTTTTTTTAATGTTACCACAGTCATTTATAAGATGCACGTTATATGGAAGTGATACCTGAGTTGTTTGCATGGGCAATGGAAGAGGCAGCAGTTCTGAAAGGAGTATGAGTCCAGAAAAAAATCCTTCAGGAACCTTCAAGATTGAAGAAAGAACTTCTTTTAACATTAAAGACCAAGTATTATTGGCCAGAGTCTCTTCTGAGATTGTGAGTTTTTCATTAACTCCTTGTGTAAAAGTCAGTAAGATATCAATGATATCATTCTGAATTTTCTGTTCATCACTATCCAAACGACCTGAGAGGGGGATAGAGCACAGGAGCATGTGTAAAGTAACAAGTGCTGAAGGAACACGCATGTCCTTAAACTCAAAGGATCCACCTCTCAAGAGTTCCGTTAACATAGTTTTAAGAAGAGTGAGTGTGCAGCGAGCCATTGAAATAGTAGTAACTCTGTGAAGAGTAGTCCCCATGTTGACATGGAGCCTCCACGGCTGAGTCAGAATACTGTTCAATTTTTGCAGAACCCGAATAAAGGTGTCCATTCCTTCAGCAGAAAAAAGCTGAATTACAGCAAGATTCCATTTCAGGTCTTTCTGCTGACCTTTATATAGAAAACGGAAAATAAAACTAATTACTTATACATTAAATAACTGGTTACAATTTTTGGATATTTTATTTAATAAATTATATTTATGCTAGGCTTAAAGAATAATTGAAGGCAGCCATATTACCTTCAACAGGAGGTGGTGGGCATGCCACATTACAGAGAACACGTAGTGCAGTGGTAAGACCAACTCCTTCTGGGGTCATCAAGTTATCAATATTCTTTAAAAATAAAAATAAACAAAAAATTTAATTTTTTGGTATGTAGCAAATCAATAGAAAATTCCAGATAAGGTATTAGTTAAAAATATGAGCTTCAAGTTAAGTACACTGCAACATTTAAAATTTACTAAACAAACTTAAAACATTAATAAGGTTCTAGCTAAAGAAGTTTATAAATTTGGCATAAGTTGCACCATGCTTCCATGATATTATATGAATAAAAAGAATAACTATACTAAAAAGTACATATAGAAATATATAAGACTCTCTGTATTAAGAGTTTAAAACAGTTCCTTGCCATATACTCTTTCCACACATCCTCCTTCCAAAAAATGAAGCAATGACTGTTTTTACAAAGCTCTGTGGCATTTAACTACTTTCAAAACTTAGGAAGCAACAGGGAATGTTTTAGGACTATATAACCTACTTTTCAAAAAAAGTCAGGTATCATGGGCGTCTACTCATGATGACCAGTTGGGGCAAGATTAGAGGGAAAAAACATATATAGTTGCCTATGTTCTTAATATCTGCCTATGCTATGTTTCCTGGCAACAAATAGTTATGTTTAATTTACTTTGTTGTTGTAGATTTCACAGAGCAACAAAAAGATGGTTTAAAAAAACTTGCAAGTTGGAAGAACTAACATTAAAAAATATCACTATTTCAGCTTCTAAGCCTCAGGAGAGAAACTTAAAAATAACAAAATCCCTCTCCCTCATATATTTCCCACCTTAGATTAGCCTTTCCTCTAATTTTTTCCTTGCTGCTTTTCAATAATTCCACTCCAAATTATCTAAGACAACAGGAAGCCAGAGAGAGAAGTTTCAGTGCTGGATCAACTCTTCTTAGTATATGTTGGAACTTACAATAATCACAATTAATGGATAAGGATTTACATGAAAATTAAATTTCTTTTACTTACAACATGCAATTCAAATTTCTAGAATTAATTTTCTTAATGGTTAAATAGTTTTACGCAAGTCACTTGATATTTATTGGACATCTTGTATATTCTGCTGACCATCATGCACAAGTACCCAGAATACCTGACCATCTAAATTTACAGGACACTACTTGTACTTCTGTTAAATAACAGACTGAATATAAATGCAAAGCTCAAGATGTTGTTTTAGGCAGAGTAAGGAGCACAGAAGGATACAAGGCAACGTAGGAGGTAAAGAGAGGCTTAAGAGAGATGAGGTAAAGAGAGAAGGATGAGGGCAGACAGATCAGTGAAGAAAAATCTGAAGAAGATAAGTCCAAAGAATACTTTGTCACTGCATATGAATAGCAATGGATTAGATAATACACATAAATTATGTTAAGAACACACACTGCAAATTGAAGACCAAGGTGGGTTAACACACCCTTACAGACATATACACATACATACAGCTCGTCTGCTAAATGAAGAAAGAGATAATTCCTAAGGTTCATTCCGCCCTTCTCACTTAAAACATTTCACTACCTATGAGCACCTTTAGCCCTTCTTCCTATGCTACACATTGGATCAACTAAGGAGCATCAAAGTAAAAAACTTCCAAAACTAACAATGCTCCGATTTTAACCTGTTAAGAGTTATTTCAACAGTATTATTGACCATCTCAAATTAACAACAAACAGAACCATCCCCATTGCAATCATCTGGAATTCACCCTGTTAATTTTCACCTATACTCAATTTTGAGGGAAATCCTTCTTCACTAATTACAGTTTCACTGAAATGTTACGTTACCATAAGATTTAACTTTCAAAACACTTCTGTAAATGTCATCAATACAGTTGGTGATATTATTTTCATTTAAGGGAAAAAAAACAGAACAACCCTGGCAGTACAAAAAGCAGTCCACCTCATGTATCTTTGGCTATGTGTATTTTCACCAAAAAAAAAAAAAAAAGGTTGGGAAGTTATAAGGTTGATATGTTGTGGGGTTGTTAACCAATGTCATAAAACAACATGTGTACTACTGTTTCAAGAGAAACTATTTGTTCTGTAAGCCTTCACCTGAAGTACAATAAATTTTTTTTAAAAAAAAAAAAAAAAGCAGTCCACCTCAGAGTTATGTACATGTGTATTCATGTACACACACAATTACATACCTAGCTACATCCATAGAGTAATGTGTACCCACAAGGTCCGGTAGATAATCAAGTTAACAATTTCTGCATTATCTGTACAGGTGATTTAATGCAATACAGTTTCAGAAAATCAAGGCACTTTTAAATTTTACTTACCTGTTTAACATACTCAATGAGGGTTGGGATGCAGTTTATTTCAAATCTAAGGTTTTTCAGAGGTTCAAGCCACTTGCCAAGTTCTTAAAAACAAAAATTTTTAAATATTTAAAAATAAAAGCTTTTACAATAAAGGAAGTAAAGGTATTCTTTTTCAAAGAAAAACATTATCAGATACATACTGATTTCAATAATCTATATTTCATACAGGGATGAACTTGTATCTAAATCTTTCAACAAGCTTTAAAATGAAATGTATAAACATAGCCCTACTATACTGATTAAGAAATAAGAAACGACCACTCTTACTTATTTGGTTTTGAACAGGTTAATCTAATTAAACTAATTTTTGTTATCAATATATAACATTTTAAAAAATTACAAAATTGCTTATAAACTAATATGTAAAGAACAAAAATTATTCACATTAGTTTATTCAATTGTGTTTATTCAACACAGTGTTTATTCAACTGTCCATGACTCCCACCTCAAACAGAAAGCATGCCCAAAATGTATTAATTTCTAATGGAACTGAGTCCATGGGAGGACATTTACTTGGTGTCTTTTCCCTTAATACGAATTTTGAATTGTCAATTTTCTAATTTGCCTTCATAAAACTGAAATTAATTGTTATCACTCCGAAATAACGACAGCAAATTTTGCTAATAAATACAAAAGAAATAAAGGGGAAAAACCTCCAAATATACCATTTATCACAACCGAACTCAAAACTCTCCTACAAACTGTGCCATAACACCTATACTTTATCAACAAAACTGTTTCTAGAAAAGTATTCTAATGTGCAAAGGGATATACCAGTCCTAGAACATTTTATAGAAAACAGCAGTCACATCTCTCCTTGGTTCTATAATTCTCCGTGAGGATTATAGCTGTGCACATTTGAGTATTTTTCCTATGCATTTTTAAATGTACTCTTTCATATATACACAACATATAGCTCAAATGAAAAATGTAAATAATAAAACAAATACCTGTGTACCCATCACCCAGAAGAAGTGGTAAAGCATTAATAATACCTTTAAAGACTCTTTGTGTCCTTCTTTTGTAAAGGCATACTTCAGGGAAAATCTATTTCCAGTATTGGAAGTTTATTATCCAACTTTTAGTGGAGGTATTAAAGATAAGAATTAGAATTAAAAATAAGAGGTCATATGCTATTTTAAAGCATTTTTATAATACTTACTCAATATTATCAAATTTTCTGCTCAATAGGCCAGAAAGCCAAGAGCCAAAGTAAAATAATTACATTGTAATTAGATATCTTAAAACTTCTCAAGATGGCTACAAAAGGTTTGCCATAACCTTCATTCAAGATACTTTTTCTTTTTTCCCATACAAAAATTTATACATATATTGTTATGTGACTCTAATTGCTCTCCCCATACTGTTGACAACACACTCCTCCTTTCCACCCGTTCCCAATGTCCATTCAACCAGCTCCTAACCCTCTCTGCCTTCCCATCTCACCTCAGGATAGAAGCTGCCCATTTAGACTCTTGTATCTACTTGAGCTAAGAGGCACACTCCTCACAAGTATCACTTTATGTCCCACAGTCCAGTCCAATCCCTGTCTGAAGAGTTGGCCTCGGAAACTGCATGCTTTCCAGGGTACCTCCAGTCTCAGTCAGACCATTAAGTCTGGTCTTCTTACTAGAATTTGAGTTCTGCACCCCACCTTTCTCCTGCTCCATCTGGGACTCTCTGTTGTGTTCCCTGTCAGGGCGGTCACTGGTGATAGCCGGGCACCATCTGGTTCTTCTGGTTCAAGATACATTTATATATTTTAAAAAATAATGTTCAAATTCACTATTCTTTACTTTTAAGGATAGCACAAGTGTGTTAATTAACTACAAATGGGATCCTAAGTTGTACTCAGAAATGCATATGTAGTAAAACACAAACACATGCAAAACTATACCCAAACTAAACTTTTTATCTTTCAATCACCTCTTCTATTTTGATTAGAACCTTCAACTAAATACCAAACTTCATGACTTTCCAGAGACAGTATTTTCAACAATTTCATAAAAACCTCATTATAAATGCCATATAAATTATCTTCATAAAAGGTATTTCAAGACGTTAAAAACAAAATGTTAATAGGTATATTATCAAAACATGACAAAGCTCCTGAATTAGTTCTATGAAGCAAATATCACTCTGATACCCAAACCAGACAAAGGTACCAGAAGAAAAGGAAACTACAGGACAATATCTCTTATGAATATAAATGTAAAAATCCTCAACAAAATACTAGCAAACAGAATCCAACAGCATATTAAAAGACTCATACACCATGAACAAGGGGGATTTATTCCAGGAATGCAGGGATAGTTCAACATTAGAAAATCAATCAGTGTAACACACCACATCAATAGAACAAAGGAAAAGAACCACATGATCATCTGTATGTATGCAGAAAAAGCATTTGATAAAATCCAACACCCCTTTTCTGGATGAAAACCCCAAAGACGACTGGAATAGAAGGGAAATTGCTCAATATAATTCAGGCCATATATGAAAACCCAAAAGCCAACGTTACACTTAAGACTGAATGCTTTCCCCCTGAAACTGGGAACAAGACAAGGGTGCCCACTCTCACCACTTCTAGTCAATATTGTATTAGAAGGCCTAGCCAGAGCAATAAGACAAAAAAAAGAAATAACAGGTATCCAGATTGGAAAACCAAACCAAACCAAACTCATTGCCATTGAGTCAATTCCAACTCAGTGACTCTACAGGACAGAGTAGAACTGCCCTATATGGTTTCCAAGGAGTGCCTGGTGGATTTGAACTGCTGACTTTTTGGTTAGTAGCCATAGCTCTTAACCACTACGCCACCGGGGTTTCCCAGATTGGAAAAGAAGTAAAATTATCTCTATTCGTGGATGATATGATCCTATATATATAGAAAATCCCAAAGAGTCCACAAGAAAACTTCTAGAGACAATAGAGGAATTTAGCAAAGCTGCAGGGTACAAAGTCAACAAACAAAAATCAGATGGGTTTTTATACACCACCAACGAGAAATCTGAAAGGGAAATTAGAGAAACAATTCCATTAGCAGCAGCATCTGAGAGAATAAAATACCTAAGAATAAATCTAACCAGGGACGTGAAGAATTTATCAATGAAAACTATAAAACACTGCTGAAAGAGATTAAAGAAGACTTAAATGGAAAAAGAAGACTTAATATTGTTAAAATGTCAATACTAGCCAAAGTAATCTATAGACTGGATGTAATCCCATTTAAAACTCTGACAGCCTTCCTTACAGAAAAAGAAAAATCAATCTTCAACTTTATATAGAATGGCAAGAGGCCTGAAAAACTAAAACAATACTGAAAGAGAATAACAAAGTAGGAGGACTCACACTTCCTGATTTTAAAACTAACTATTCAGCTATACTAATCAAAACAGCTTGGTGCTGGTAAAAGGAGATACACAGACCAATGGAATAGACTTGAAAGTCCAGAAATAAACCCACACATCTATGGTCAACTAATTTTTGACAAGGGTAAAAAGTCCATTTGATGGGGAAAGAAGAGTCTATTCAGTAAATGGTGCTAGAAAAATTAGATTTCCATGCAGAAAAATGAAATAGGGTCCATGCCTCACACCATACACAAAAGTAAATTCAAACCATGGAAAACAGTATGGTGCTTCCTCAAGAAGCTAGAAATAGAAATACCATATGATCCAGCAATCCCACTCCTAGGTATAGACCCTAAAGAAATGAACCATGACACGAATAGACAATATGTACACCCAGGTTCACTGCAGTATTATTCACAATAGCAAAACATGGAAACAATCTAAGTGCCCATCCACAGACGGATTTAAAAACTGTAGTACGTACACACAATGGAATACCATGCAACAGTAAAGAATAAAGACGAATCCGCGAAACATCTCACAACATGAATTAGTTTGGAGGACATTACGCTGGGTGAAATAAGTACAAAAGGATAAATATTGTATGAGACCACTCTAATAAATTAACAACAAAAGGTTTACAAACAGGAAAAGAAAGAAAAAAACATTATTTGAAGGCTACCAAGGATGGGAGGGGGAGGGAGGGAAAATTACCAATTAGATAGAAGACACAAGTTAATACTGGTGAAGGGAGAGGCAATACATAATATGGGGGAAGTCAGTACAACATGATCTAGGCAAGAGAGGACACTGAGAGAAACATAAGAATAAAGGGCAACTATGGCAACTATTATAGCTTAGACAATTCTGCAACAATAGCATTAAGAAACAATAATTTACAAACGGACAAATAGGTGGTAGATACGCCAAGAGCTGTGGGAGGATGTAAAGGAACACACTCACCGGCAAACATAGGTTTGACAGTGGATATTCCTACATACATGTCTCTAGGTGTGGCTCATATAGAACACACAAGAGGTATAGCCAGAGAAGCCTCTTAGAAATAACCGAACACCTTATAGGATGAAGTTCCTAGGTGAGAAAACAAAGGACCATAGACTTGGGGACATCTATGTCAACTGGCACAACATACTTCATAAACACAATGTTCTGCATCCTACTTTGGTGAGTAGCGCCTGGGGTCTTAAAAGTTTGCAAGCAGTCATCTAAGATACAACTATTGGTTTCTTCCAAATGGAGCAAAGGAGAGTGAAAGGAAGCAAAGACTCAAGGGGGGAATTAGTCCAAAGGAATAATGGACCACGTGAACCACAGCCTACACAACCTTGAGACCAGAAGAACTAGATGGTGCCTGGCTACCACTACCAACTGCTCTGACTAGGATCACAACAGAGGGTCCTGGACAGAGCGGGAGAAAATTGCAGGACAAAAAATCAAATTCACAAAAATGACCCGACTTACTGGCCTGTCAGAGACTGGAGGAACCCCTGAGACTATGGCTTTAAGACACCCTTCTGACCTAGAAGTGAAGCCATTCCCAGAGACAACTTCACAGCCAAGCAACAGACAAGCACATGAAATAAACAATAACACCTGAGAGGAACGTACTCCTTGGAACAAACAATTACACAAGATCAAAAGGGCAATATCTGCTCAAAAATAAAGATGAGAAGGCAGGAAGGGGTAGAAAATCAGGACAAAAGGTAAGAGGGAACCCACGACACAAATTGGGAGAGTGCTGACACATTGTGGGGAATGAAACCAAGGTCATGAAACACTTTATGTACAAACTATCGAATGGGAAACAAATTTGCCACGTCAACTTGCAGCTAATGCACATTAGGTAAATAAGAAAAAAATAAGTAAATAAATAAATTCAAAATGGATTAGGGACCTAAATGTGCAAACTAAAACCATAAAATTCTTAGAAGAACAAGCAGGGGCAAATCTTCAGGCCTAGCTTTCAACAATGGATTATCTAATAACAAAAGCACAAACAGCAAAAGACAAAATAAATAAATGGGACTTCATAAAAATTAAAAACTTTTGTTCATCAAAACACCTTACCACACCAATGACTGCCCTGATAGGAAACACAACAGAGAGTCCAGGACACAGCAGGAGAAAAATGTAGAACAGAATTCAAATTCACGTAAAAAGGCCAGACTTAATGGTCTGACAGAGACTGGAGGAACCCCTAAAACTATAGCCCCCGGACGCACTGCTAACCCTAAACTGAAACCATTCCCGAAGCCCACTCTTCAGACAAAGATTAGACAGCACTATAAAACAAAAAATAATACACGTGAGGAATGTGCTTCTTAGTTCAATCAGATATACCAGACCAAATGGGCAACTCCTGTTCAAAAGCAGGATGAAAAGGTAGGAAGGGACAGGAACTGGTCAAATGGATGCAGGGAACTCAGGGTGGAAAAAGGGAGTGTGCTGTCACATTGTGGGGATTACAACTAATGTCACAAAACAATGTGTATAAATTTTTGAATAAGAAATTAACTTGAGCTGTAAACTTTCACCTAAAGCACTATAAAAAGAAAAATAAAATAAGAAAGACTACCAAAAAAGTGAAAAGCCAAGCTACTGACTGGGAGGATATCTTTGGAAACCATATACCCAACAAGAATCTAATAATCAAAATATATATAAACTTTGACAACAAAAGCCAAATAACCCAATCACAAAATGGGCAAAGGACTTGAATAGACATTTCACCAAAGAGGACATTCAAATGGTCACCAAACGTAAGAAAAGATGCTCAGCTTCATTAGCCACCAGACAGATGCAAATCAAAACCACAGTGAGACACCATTTCATCCTCACTAGGATGGTTAAGATAAAAAAGAAAATAACAAATGTGGGTAAGAATGTTGGGGAAACTGGAACCCTCATTCATTGCTGGTGGGAATGCAAAATGTTACAGCCATTGTGGAAAACAGTGTAGCGGCTCCTCTAAAAACTAAAAACAGAAAACAGAACTACCATAAAACCAAAAAACCTGTTGCAGTCAAGTTGATTCCAACTCATAGCAACCCTACAGGAGGGTTTCCAAGGAGCAGCTGGTGGATTCGAACTGCTGATCTTTTGGTTAGCAGCCGAAAACTTAACCACTGTGCCACCAGGGATCCTAGAACTACCATATGACCCAGTAACTCCACTCCTAGTTACATACCCAAAAAACTTGAAAGCAGAACTCGGAGACTTGTACACCAATGTTCACTGCAGCACTATTCACAATAGCCAAAAGGTGGAAACAACCTAAATGCCCATCAACAAAATGAATGGGTAAACAAAACGTGGTACATACGTATAATGGACTACTCCTCAGTCAGTAGGAGAAATGAAGTCATGACACATGCTATACAGTATGGATGGAGCTTGAAGACAATACGCCGAGTGAAATAAGCCAATCACAAAAGGACAAATATTGTACGACCTCACTTATATAAAAAGACAAGAAAAGGCAAATGTATAAAGACCAAAGTTTATTAGCGGTTACCAGGGGCAGGAGAGAGGGGAAAAGGGGGATTAATGGTGATGGGAAAAATCACACTGAATAAGGGTAGGGTTATGCAGCTGATTACTGTAATTGCTCTCAACAAGTTCTACACCTGTAAAAAGTTGAGCTGGCAAAAGCTGTGTGACACATATATTTACAACAATGAGAAGAAAAAAAAAAAAAGGAGTAGCTGCTGAGGCTACTTATGCACAACCAAACACCTCATGGAATTTGGTTCCTTGGTTTGGAGGTTTAGGGTCATAGTTCATGGGACATCCCAGTTAATTGGTTTAATAACATGTTTAGTGCTTCTGTTTTACTTCCTAGTTCGTTGCGTAGTGCCTGGGATCTTAAAAGCTTGCAAGCAGTCATCCAAGGCACAACAATTGGTCTCTATTCACCTGGAGCAACAGAGGAAGAAGGAGAGTCAGGAATAGGAGGAAGATATAGAATGTGTGGCTAATTGCCTCCGTGAACAACTGCCTCCTTTGCTATGAGACCAGAAGAACTAGATGATGCCCAGCTACCATTACTGAACATTTTGATCAAAGATTCCATAGAAGAATCCTGATCAAAAGGGGGGAAAGGCAGAACAAAATTTAAAATTCTCATGGACTCTAGACTTTCTGGAGCCATGGAGGGCAGATAAACCCCAGAAACTATTGCCCTGAGATAATCTTTAAACCTTAAACCAAAAACGTCCCCTAATGTCATCTTAAACTGAACAACAGTTTAGCTTAACTAGTAAAAAAAAAAAAGTCTGCCTTGAGCATTATGCTGTTTTAAGAACTATCTACATGGGATCAAACTGACAACAGCAACTTGAAAGATTAGATAGGAACCTTAGGGGGCAGTGAGTTTATGTTAATGAGGGAGGAACAATTCAGAAAAGGAGGGTGAAAATGATTGCAAAACTCTAAGAATGTAATTAATGTCATTAAATTGAACATGTAGAAACTGTTGAGCTGGTGTATGCTTTGCTATGTATAATATCAACAAAACTAATAACAAAATAAATAAACTTTAGAAGAAAAAAAAAGACACTGCACTAATTACAGATATTCAAAGGCTTTTTCCTTCACATATTACTCATGCTTAAATAATGTAAGGTACCATACCTTGCAATTTAGCATTATTTTCATCTGCTTTACAAAGCTTCAAGAGAGATGCTGCATGTTGTTCTAGCATTTGGACATCACTGGAAGACTGAACCACCACCAAAATAAGTATACATGCATAATTATAAGCTACTGACTTCTTAGACTTGGAGTCACTGAAACAAAATAAGGTTTTTAAGTTTTTGGTACAAAAATAATTTTTCAGGAATAATTTAAAACAATTTTTTCTACTTAAAGAGAGTAAGGAAATTTACAATGAAACATGACTAACTTCCTCAAGACCAGAAATCAGATTTTAGAGTTCACATCCAATTCACATGAAAACACTGCTTAAAAGTGTGTAAAAAGTATGTGCATTACAATGGAGAGTAAAATACTATTAAAAAAACAGATGAGATAAACAATGAAATATTAACAAGTATACTTCATTAGCAACGAAAGATTAGAAAGTACACTTCACTGGTCTCCTTTAAAATGTTGTTCCACTCTGGATATGAACAAGTGTGATGAATCAATCTACTGCCATCATCACTCAGTCTTCATCACATGCTTACAAAAGTGTTAAGATATAGCAAGGCATAGAAGCCACTGTTAGTTGCCTTTCATAAGCTCCCAAAGGAGATCTGTCACTCAAAGAGTCATACCAAGACCCTATTGTGAGGGCAGCTATCTGGATGCCACAACTTTGTGTGACATGAGCCAGGAAGAGGGCATGGCTCTCTTCTCATATACTAAAACCCTCTGTCCTACTGAGCAGGCTCTTCAAAACCATTATCATTCCCAATTCCTCCTATCCAGTCACAGAAATCTAAAGCCAGAGCACCATGAATAGTTTAGAAGGCAAGGGCAGAAGACTACAAAATACTCCTCAATACTCTTAAGGTATATATTCTTGTGCCTAGGACAGGATTTTCCTCTACCCAAATCAGTAGGAGTACTACAGTTGCAATCTTTGCCAACACCATGGGGAACTGGAATAAACTGTTAAAAGAGCCATCCATCTCATTGCTTTATAGCTACAATCTATATTTTAGAGATTATTTCTGTGATTCTAATCCTTAATTAACAAGTTATGTGTTATGTTAAAAAATAAGTATTAAAAACCATTAAGTATTAGTTTTTACTTTCAAAGAAACACCTTCTTTTAAAAATCTAGGCCATTACTGTTCTAGTTTTCTAACACAATAGAAAATTTAAGGAGTAGAAAATTACCCTAAGGCTTCTTTGGAATAGTACTCCATTAAAGTAATAAGACTTTGGAGATTTTTCTCAAGACTGAAAACATGGCCAACAGCTGACCTTCCCACAGGATTAAAAGTAATCAAATAAAGATTGTGAAGGGTTCCCAAGAGATCAGAATGGTCAGTTTCTTCACTGGCTGTACAACGCTGAAAATGGCTGAACAGTTCTGTAATACACTGCAACGTCTGTGTTGAATCCTGTAGCCACAAGGCAAATGCATCATCAATAACACCATCAGATTGCAGACCTTCGTCTTCATCTTGATCATAAAGGTGACATAGAGCTCTGATCAACAAATTTGTTGCTTCATATTCCGACATAAAAAAAAGAAGACCTTTTTGTGATTGTGCAAGAAACTTTAAAACATCTTTTGTGGCCTGCAGCACACCAGGATGAGCACTTGTTACAGGAATTGACAGAAGCAAGGTAACCAACTCCAAGAAGTGATGACTGTGAAGATACCTATAGAAAAGTTAATTAACATATGTAAAGTCAGTTCAAAGCATTCTTCATTTATTCAGTATTCCCTGGAAGGAAGAGAGGTAAAATTTTTAATGGCCACAGTCCTTACCCTTGGTATATACTGCTTTAATTGAAAACATACTGAGTAGCAAGTCTTCTCTCCACTGGGCCAAAGATAAGAGGAAGTTCTGTAAGGCTTTCTCCTACCTAAGATTCAACAAATATTCAACAGACAACTGTTGATAAGTTTTCTCTTTCCAGAGCTAACCTTGACTTTAAATTCTGGGCCTTCTTCCTAGGCCACATATCAAATGCTCCCTTTTCAACAAGGTCCTACTCTACTCACGGCATATCAATATATCTGCAATTAGTTTATCCAGGAAAACTATAGACTACAGAAAAATATAGTATATTGAGATATACTATATGTAATATATATGAATTGGTATATCTAGGGAAAAAATGTCAAATCATCTATTTTTAGTACTTATACAGTTAATACCACCATGGACAGCAGTCTTTTATCAAATCCAACAACTACTCTTTAGTATACATAGTTTTGGGGGAAAAGTTTGAATTTATTCAACACCCCAAAATAGATACAAATACAACTGATAACCTCTTTGGGCCTATGTTTCCTTATCTATAAAGGTTTTCTTACCTGCAGGCCCTGCCAGGTTAAAACTCTTTTCTAAAATTAACTTGTTCAAAGTGAAACTTAAAAAAGATTGTGAAGAAAAAAGAATCAAAACACAATACTTTTTTTCAAAATTCAAAAATGGAGAGAAAAACTGTCAAAAATGTCAAACTACAAGGAAAGACTAGCCTAATGTAAATTTTTTTTTTATTAATTTTGAGTTAGGAAGAATAACTTTGAAAGTTAAAAAGTATAAAATTACAAGTAGATACATAAGACTAAATGGGCAGCTCCTGTCCGGAGGCAAGGTGAGAAGGCAGAGAGGGTCGGGGGCTAGCTGAATGGACACGGGAAATCCAGGGCGGAAGGGAGGAGTGTCCTGTCACAGTACAGGGAGAGCAACTAGGGTCACGTAACAATGTATGTATAAATTTTTGTATGAGAGACTAACCTGAATTGTAAACTTCGACTTAAGGCATAAGAATTTTAAAAAAAAAGTATAAAATTACTCAAAATGCTAATCTCTCCCCTTCATATTTTCAAAGGATAGTCACTGCAAGTTGTTACACAACAGCTTCCATTATCATCTGGTAAAATATTAATATGTAAAGGCTAGAATTTTTCATCAAAAGCCTCTTCAATCACATTACTGCTTAAAATCAGACTTCTATTTCATGATGATAAATATCCCCAGTGACTATTTACTACAAAGGCAAACAACTGTAAAGAAGACAACACTCCAGAGTTACTAAACTCTAAGAGCAGGAGTGGATTATCCAATAAGCAAGGTAAGCATAGTGCTTACCTTGCTTACCAGATTATCTGGAGTGAACAACTTCATGTGAGTTTCATTACATTTGAAATTGTTCACTACAGATTAGTACGTAAGCACAAGTAAGCCCATGCTCACCTTGTTTACTGGGTCATCTGCCCCTGTCAGGGATTGTAAATTCAAATAGAGGCTTTGATTCTGTAGGAAGGTGCTGTGGGGCTGGGAGAGAGACAGATGCCAGCCGTACCTAGAAGCAGAATCTTTGAAGTGGTAAAAAATGTGAAAATGTTCACTACAGATGATCTGGTAAGCAAGGTAATCTGCACCCTGTATAAGAGCATTCTTAACCACCTTATAGACTAGGCAGAAAAGAGTTAGCATAGCAGGCCTCAGACTGCTTTTGAAGAGCCTGCTTATGAGACTGGCATGTGGAGGGTTCCCATCCCCCTAACTGATAAGAGCAGCTCATTGTGCCTCAACTGTTCATACAAACAATACAGTTTATCCTGAACACTATCCTTCTGGGAGTCTAAAATTCTAGTACATGCTAGGCAGAGAGTCCCTATGTGGTTAACCCACAGTAAAAATTCTGGGTGCCAAGTCTCTAGTAAGCTTTCCTGGTAGGCAACATTTCACTCATATTGTCAAAACTAGTTGCTGGGGAAATTAGGTACAGCCTGTGTGACTCTACTGGGAGAGGACTCTGGAAGCTTGCTCTTGGTTTCCCCCTGACATCATCCCATGCACCTTTTTTTGTGCTGATTGTGCTTTGCATCCTGCATTTTCACTTGCATTTATTTTCACTGTAATAAATCATAACTATGTGTAAAACCATACGTTGAGTCCTGTGTATCATCGAACCTGAGATAGTCTTAGGGACCTCTGACACAGGACATTACAGCCTTGCCGTCACTTCAAACTCAATCCTTCCAAAATACGATTACTTCTCTTCCAAAATTCACTCTCCCTCTTATTTACAGGCAAATGGCAGAAAGGAAAGTCTCAAAAAATAAAACAAAGACCCTACTCTGGGTGCTGGTCCCAATAATGGCAAAATTTTATCAATAGAAAACTTGAGATGTAGATGACAGAAAGAGGTAATAATTGAACCTTAAAGATATCTTTAACTAGAAGTGTAAAATTTACGTTTAAATTATAACGTATTACAGTAATAAGGTACAAAGGAGTTCACACAGAAAAATCTGTCTCCTTCCTATGTCATTCCCTTGTACCATCATCCCAGAAGCAACCCAGCAGCTTCTCATTTATTATGGCTCATAAACATGCTTATCCAAACATTGTTGTTGATTATTAGTATCTTTAACTTAGGTTCCTATTACTGCCTTAATTAAAAGGAGCCCTGGTGGCACAGTGGTTAAGTGCTTGGTTGTTAACTGAAAAGTCAGTGGTTCAAATCCACCAGCTACTCCGTGGGAGAAAGATGTGGCAGTCTGCTCCCGTAAAGTTTACAGCCTTGGAAACCCTAAGAGGCAGTTCTACTCTGTCCTATAGGGTAACTATGAGTTGGAACTGACTCGATGGCAATGGGTTGGGTTTAGGTCTTATTACTGTTTTAAGTACTAACACAATATAGCTCACCCACAGCAATAACATACTTGTCAGTTTCGCTACTGAATATCTATTTTGAAATGGCAAGTATCTTTACACAGACATGCACTGCCTCCAATGGTCTATGAAATGTATTTCCCAAAAACAAACAAGTCTTACCTGAAGAGAACAGGGTATGGATCATCCCTCTCTGGAGGTCCAGTAATACGTGCCATCGTTGGGAAAGACTTAACAGGAGGTTGGACCATTGTATGAGGTGCCGTTTCCATTAAATGAAAAACTTCTTCGAGGAGGTTAATAAGCTTTTCAATTTCCCCTTCACTTATATTTGAGGATTCCAAAAGATCCATATCCATAGAGGCCTCTACCTCATTTTCATATTCTGGATTTGTTCTCTCCAGTCCAGCATCTGTGTCATGATCAGGTTCACTGTGGTTAGGAACAGATGAAGTCTTCTCTGCTAAATGGTCACCAAGTCTTTTAATTTCTGACAAGATTTCATAGAAATGGCATTTCTGAAGGATAGCTGAACCAGCTGTGACAACCCTCACAGTCTGATCTAAAAGTATGAGCTCCAGAAGTTTTTGATAGCCACTTTTTTCATTCTGCCTACCTCTTAAAAAAGCTTCCATTCCTTCTGTCATACTAATGACACTGTCCAAAGCTTTAAAAGCATTTAACTTAAGGGAAGATGAGACATGATCAGCAAATAGGAGCTCAAATAGTCCACTGATCACTCCTGCTTGTAGCAGTCCCATGACACCTTGAGTCCCACATTCTGCCAGTGAGGAGACTAATTTGGTCCCAGCTTTGAGCTGACGGACATTTAAGGCAATGGGTTGGCGAAGGGCAACTTGTAAATTTAACGCTTGCATAGTCCAGTCTATCAACTGGACAAGGGAGTCTTGTTTTGTGTTTTTCAATTGCAAATAACTTAATCCTTTTATTATTAAACTTGGAATTTCTTCTAAAGCTGTTACCCATTTTGCACCTCTATCTTCCCGATACAAATCTAACAATTCAGTTAACTTCACTGAGGCTTCTATTGCCCCTGAATTTTCTTTATCTGGACCTTGATCCTTCATTCTACTGACTTCAATTTCAAAAGTAGTCTTGTATGGACAGCTGAAATATAAAAGTGGTACAAGTTCTCTGTCATATGGATCATATGTCATAGGAGGAACTGAAGCTAAATCTTCAGCAGTGTATTCAACATCAAAGTTTGGATACTTAAATGTTTCACGTTCCAAGTCAGCAATTCCATCTTCATCACTGGAAATTTGTTCATAACCATCATCCCCTGAAAAATTGTTTGAATAACATTTAAATATCACAAAATTGTTGAAGGCATGAATTTTGATTGATAAAAAAATTGCTTATTTAATAGTGTAGCAAACATTAAAAGAATTAACGATTTCCTCAAAAAAAAAAATTAACTTCTCTCAGCATTACTGGCATGAATCAAAAACACTGGGAATAACAAATGTTGGAGAGGCTGCAGGGAGGTTGGAACTCATGCGCTGCTGGTGGGAATGCAAAATGATACAACCATTTTGGAAAATGATATGGCACTTCCTTAGAAAGCTAGAAATAGAAATACCATACAATCCAGCAATCCCACTTCTAGGAATATATCCTAGAGAAATAAGAGCTGTCACACAAATAGATATATGCTCACCCATATCCACTGCAGCACTGTTCACAACAGCAAAAAGATGGAAACAACCTAGATGCCCATCAACAGATGAATGGATAAACAAACTATGGTACACCCACACAATGAAGTATTACACAACAATAAAGAACAATGATGAACCTGTGAAGCATCTCATAACATAGATGAAACTGGAGGACATTATGCTGAGTGAAATAAGTCAGTCACAAAAGGAGAAATATTGTATGAGACCTCTACTGTAAAAACTCATGTAAAAGTTTACTCACAAAAAGAAATAATCTGTTGGTTATGAGGGATGGGAGGGGTAGGTGGGGGAACTAAATAGACAATAGATAAGTGGTAACTTTGGTGAAGGGTAATTCAGTACACAGTACTGGGGAAGCCAGCACAACTTGTACAAGGAAAGGTCATGGAAGCTCCACAGACACATCCAAACTCCCTGAGGGACTGAATTGCTGGCCAGAGGGCTATAGGGACCATGGTCTCGGGGAACATCTAGCTCAGTTGGCATAACACAGTTTATAAAGACAAATGTTCTACATTCTACCTTGGTGAGTAGCGTCTGGGATCTTAAAGGCCTGTGAACAGCTACCTAAGGCTGGTGGTCTCACCCTTTCAGAAGCAAGGGAGAATGAAGAGAAAAGGATACAAGGAAAAGATTAGTCCAAAGGACTAATGGACCACAGCTACCACAGCCTCCACCAGACTGAGTTCACTACAGCTAGATGGTGCCTGGCTACCATCACTGACTGCTCTGACCGGGATCACAATAGACAGTCCTGGACAGAACTGGAAAAGGATGTAGAACATAATTCTAACTCACAGAAAAGACCAGATTTACTGGCCTGGCAGACTGGAGAAACCCCAAGAGTATGGCCCCCAGACACCTTTTTAGCTCAGTGCTGAAGTCACTCCCGAAGTTTACTATTCAGCCAGGGACTGGACAGCCTCATAAAACAAAACGGGACTAACGAGGCACAGCAGTCCAGGGACAAGGACTAGTAGGCAGGAGGGGACAAGAAAGCTGGTGATAGGGAACCCAAGGTTGAGAAGAGACAGTGTTGACATGTCGTGGGGTTGTTAACCATTGTCATAGGGGAATGTGTGTACTGTTTAATGAGAAACAATTTGTTCTGCAAATCTTCATCTAAGATACAAAAAAAATTATCTGTGTGAGATCAAATTGACAACAGCAACTCAAAAGGTGTGATGGGAAGCCTAGGGGGCAGTGAGTTGAAGATAATGGTGATG